AAAAAAAAAAACTTGCAATTACAACACGAAGTGAAAAAGACTATTTATTAATATTTTTATCTGATACGTCAGAGGGTCTCTATGAAAACTTGTGGAAGACAAGAAGGAAGAAAGGAAAGGAGAAAGAACGTCTGAAAGCCTGAATGGATGGATGGATGAATGAGGAAAACTCATCTGGATAGAGTAGATTAGGAAGTAAGAATTAAATAATGTGACAATAATAATTTATTGTGCAGAATTGCAAGGGTTTAAATCCCCACTCAAGGCCTTAGTCCCTCAGGGATATAAATTTCCTCAGCTGTAAAGTAAGTTAGGACATGTGAAGTGTAACATCGTCCCTGGCACTTAACACTGTATGCATGCTAGATATTTCTAGTAGAGTATGCAAGGTCTGCTCTCAGTTCTTATATGCATTATGTCATTTAATCCTTCAAAGATCCTGTGAGTTACATGTTGCTATCCATATTTCCTAGATGTGTTAACAAGAAGCAACCAGGTAAAGAACTTTACCTAAAATGATCCCACATTGGCTGGACTAAGATTCAAACCTCACAGTGTTTGGCTTCAAAAAGCCTGTGTTGTTACCCACTGTGTGATATCTAACATTGCATTTGAAATGGAAACTGATTTGGTTTTCATTTCTTCATACACAGGTGACTTAGGAAAAACAATATTTCTTTGTTGAGCTAGATCATAGAGTATAACAAACTTTCGGCTAAAGAGGCTTGGCTAATATCCTTCATTACCTAATTGGTAGTTACTAAGTATTCATTTCTTGTTCTGCAAAATTCTCTTTCTGTTTCCCTGTTAGGGAAAATGAAAGTTATCTTTGTTTCTATTCAGAATATGACACCATCAGAATAACAATAGCTAAACCTACTTAAAATTTGCCAGGCACTGTTCTAAGTATCTATCAGCATTTTCGGTCTGCAGAAATCCCATGATATGTCTCCTTTTGCAGATGAGGAAATAGAGGTCCAGAGAGCTTAACTTGCCTTAAGTTACACAGGAAGTAGTAAAGCTAGGTTTGTGACTCTAGAAGCTGTAATCTTAACCACAAGGGCTATTCCTGTTTCTACAAATATCATGAAAGCAAAAGACCACTTGCTCAAGGACAGTTCTGCTTGTTGTTGCTGTTATTAGCTGCCATCAGGTTAATCACTGACTCGCGATGACCCCATGCACACCAGTGATGGACCATTGTGTTTTTTTCGTTGCTGATTTTTCGGGAAGTAGTCTATCTCAGTTTGGATGCTCTGCTGAAACCTGAGCAGCTTCATAGCAACACGAAAGCCTCCAGGTGGTGGCTGTGCTTGAGGTGTATTTGCCTGGAATCCAGCCCTGGTCTTCCCTATGGAAGGCAAGAATTCTACCACTGAACCAGCCCTGCCCATCTTTCCACAAATATCATGAAAGTGTAAGACACATGCTTAAACACAGTTCTGGTTAAAGAAGGATAAAGGAAGAAAATTTCAGTAAAAATTCAATGATGCTTTCTAAGAAAACTGTAAAAATAAATAACAAGCTACAATAATTCTTGGCAATTATGAAGCATATTAGAAAAACATTGGATGCTTCTAGGTGAAAATGTCTGCTAAAGATGATACAGAACAGTCACAAAAGGACAAATAGTGTATGAGCCCATTTATATCGAACAGACCAATCTATATAGAGAGTAATAGTGCTTACCAGGGGTTGGAGGGAGGGAGAAAGGGGGAGTCATTGCCTAGGGGCCACTGAGTTTCTGTTAATAGTGATGGAAAATTCTGCAAAAGAATAGGGATGGGTGTACACCATGGTGAACGTAATC